GTCAGGTCCCTCAACTTTGATTTTGTACAATTTGGTCCTCGGAGTTTTGACTTTCATTTCGATTTTGCCCTCCATAAATTGCATCCCAAATTCTCCACTTTTTGACTTGTTTGCCTTGGTCTCCAACTTCACAATTTTGTACAATTTTAGTCTTTTTTCCTCATTTTGCCTTGTTCTCTTTCCTTTGAGTGATTTTTACCTACAAAAGCAAATATTACTTAATTATGAGTAGAATTTCATTCTTTTCATCAATAATTATATCAAATTAAGTGCCCAATAAGTGTTCAAAAAGACACTTATCACGAATCAAACTTAGTTAAACGCACTAATAATTCTGAGAATACATTTATGACTCCAGCAATTAATATAGGTATCTTTGCATGTTATATTATTTACCGAATTTTAATATGTGGTCTAAACAAGAATCCGCCTCTCTACGCAATTATTGTTCACGAAATTATTGAATAATTGGCCAGAAAATTCAAAGTATTGAGAACATGATTAAAATCCACACATATGATCATCACGAACAAGAATCTCAAATAAAAGAAATAAATGGTCCCAAATAGGTTATATTGTTTGCCCTGAAATTAAATTTAACTACTCATAATATTGAAAGAAAAACAAGAAGTTATTATTGAAGACATCACCTGGTTTTGAATGAGAATATAGAATAAGAAACCAATCTTGCACCAAGATCTTCTTCCTCTTCCAAATTTTGTTTCAACCCTCGAATTACTTGTTGTTTTTCTTCTTGAATTCTTCTCTTTAATTTCCAAGTGTGTTCTTCTTCCTAATGAGTAGATTCAATCCCTTGATCTTTTGTTCCCTTGAATTATCTCCCTTTTCTCCAATGTTTATTAGGTGTTTTTATGAATAATAGAGGCTCCCAATGTGTGAATCCCCCTTTGAATTCCTCTTTTGTCAGGTTGTATTTATGTCTTCTTCAAGTTTTGGAAGAGTTTTAGTTGAGTTGGACTTTTAAAAAGATGAATTTTACTTGAAAACCCTATTTGACGGCAGGGTGGCACCTAGGCACTGCGATTGGGCGCCTAACCGTTGACTTTTGGGAAAAAATCAGAAACATAGCGCTTGAGCACTACGGGATAGCGCCTGGGCACTGTCGTCAGTTCAATCGTACTACACAATATTCAATCTTTTTATCATAACTTTTTCTCCTATTATTCGATTGAGGTGATTCTAGATGTGCTGGAAAGATAACTCAAAAGGCTACAATTTTGTTTCAGATACCATTTTCAAATTAGATCATTTGCTATGTCAAAAATGGGTCTGAAAATGATGCATACATTTTTTCGTTTGGAACTTGATGTGTGATCATACTTTGATTATATTTCATTCCTTTGATGTTATTTTTTATTCAATTGACTTCGAGCACTCTTGAATCTTCATCGTAAGGTCCGAGACAACTTTTGAGTATTTGCACTTTAGTTCCCGAACTTTGGATCTCTCACAACTTAGCCATTTTATCCAATTTTGTCAACTTTTGCTTATTTCCTTCAATTTCTTGTATCATCATTGAATTTTACCTATTCAACATGAAATGCAATAATTCAGACCATAATTCATCCGAGAAGCCACTAAATATTATAGTTTTAAAGCCTTGAACAAGTGATCGCCTTTCAAGATTCTTGAAAAATATTCAAGACAAAGCACAAACAAGAATGTAGATAGAAAGTCACCTTGTCTAAGCCATTTTCTACCCTTGAAGAGGTCATGTAGACTACCATTGAGTGCAATAGAGTAAGTAGGAGTAGAAATGCATTTCATAATCCAACCAATAAACTTAGTTGGAAAGTCCAAACCTTCAAGTACACATTTGAGAAAATTCCAATTCACAGAATCATATGCTTTCCTTAGATCAATTTTGAAAAGGCATCTTGGGGAAACTCTTTTCCGATTATATTGTTTCAAAAGCTCTTGTACAGGATGAAGGTTTTCAATCATACTTCTTCCCTCCACAAAAGCTGCTTGTGTTTGATCAACAATGGATCCAAGTATGGGTCCCAATCTAGAAGCGAGAATCTTAGTAATGACTTTGTAGAATACATTACAACATGTAATTGGCCTATAGTCTCCAATGGAGGATGAGTAATTTGTCTTAGGAATCAAAGCAATCACCGTATGATTTGTTTGTTTAAGAAGGGAGGAAGAGTTGAAAAACTCAACTCTTCCTCCCTTCTTAAACTCACATCGAACAATGCACCAAGCTTTTTAAAAGAAACAAGATGTATATCCATCTTGGCCTGGTGTTTTATCATCCCCAATACTAAACAAAGCTTCTTTAATCTCTTGATCTGAAATTTCACAAACAAGTGACAAAGCATGCTCTTCCTTTAGCACGGGACCATTCTTTACAACGTCGGCCTCAATAGGTTGAACAAGACAAATTTTTCCCAAAAGTCCATATAGAAACACATGAATTCATCCACCACTTCCTTATGAGAGGAAGTATAGGTCCCATCCCTTTTCAACATGGTAGCAATATAGTTCCTCTTGTTATTTCTCTTAACCACCCAATGGAAAAACTTAGTGCACTTATCACTATTTTTTTGGTAAGTACACTTAGTTTTTTGGTAGTAAAAACGTCTTTCCGCTTCACGAAGAATCATGGCCTCTTTCCTCAACTAGCCACTTCATATTGAAGATGAGCATTTATAGGGTTACCATGCAATTCCACTTGCGCCTCTTTCAAAATTCTAGATGCGATTTCAGCCCCAGAGGAGATATGTGAGAAGTGCTTATCATTGAGCCTCCTTAGTGCCCCTTTAATATTTTGTAACTTTTGTAAAGAGTAAATTGCTTCGTTCCCACTATATCTTTGTACCAACAATCTTGAACAAGGTCTAGAAAATCATCATGATCCACCCACATGTTGAAAAGCTTAAAAGGTTTTCCTTTGCTATCATCTTGTTGCAAAAGTGACAATACATGGAGAGTGGTCCGAGAGACATCCCGAAGGCAGAAATTCAGCAATGCTATGAATTCCTGATTGCATCCGCACATCATTAATCATGGGTCTATCAATTGTACTCCAAGTTTTATTATTGGTCCACGTGTAGAAACATCCAATAGACCTCATATCCGTAAGCCCAACATTAAGACAACAATCCTCGAAGTCTCTAATTTCATATGGTGTAACATCCGCTCCATTACACTTTTCATCAAACTTATTAAAATCATCCATCATCAACCATGGTAAATAGCAATTTGCCCCAAGCTCTATGATATTATTCCAAAGAGACATGCGAGCAACAATAATATGGAAATCATATACAAAACTAACCTGAAAAGATATGGAAGTTACCTTGCATGTAATAATATGTATGGCTTGTGCGGTTAGCTCCAACACCGTCACCTTAAATGGATCCCATAATATCAAAATCCTACCGGGATGATGGATGGTGAAGTTATTCACTTGCAAGTGTCCCAAAAACTTATTCCTCAACATCCTTTGTAGCTTAGTAGGCCCAAGTTTTGTCTCTAAAATTCCCATTACGTCAATATTATGCGTTCTCATCAAGTGTTGAACCCCATTTTGTTTGAGGGGACGGTTCAATCCCCTTATGTTCCAAAAGCCAATCTTCATGATAATGAGGCAAGGGTAATTCCCTTCTTCTTCTCCTTTGCGACAATCACCTTTCTTTGCTCCTCAAGCTCCCTTTTCGACTTTTCATTGCTAGACGCCATAGATGTTGTTCCATTTGAATTAGAAGAACAACCTGCCCCTACCTTAGTGAACTTATTGTCTACGTTGTCAAGCACCGGAATTGGAGTAATTCTCCCACTTCTCTTCCCTTGATTCATCCCCCTTTTCTTGTGTATAATTTAAGTGAAAGGAGTTTCATCTAGGACCTCATTTTGCCCTTGAAGATCATCATTGAGCCCTTCCTGCTGTTGTTGGGTAGAATTAGTGCAATGTTGGGCTTGCTCTAGCCATTCCAGCCTGAACCTGTCCGTCCCCAACGTCCAGTCCACCTGCGTCTGCTTGAGGTAACCTGTTAAGTGCAAGCTGTCCAGCCGTTTTGGCATTAACCAGCCCATTCCCAGCAACCTGATTTGGTTTGGCAACTACATCCACCACCTGATTTTGATTGGTAGTCTGATTTTTACAAGAGCATGAAGCTGTAGTGTGGCCAAACATCATACAATTTCCGCAATTCCCCCCTCCCAATATAGTGAATTAAGAGTATTACTGGGATATTTTTCGCTAATCTGAGTTAAGCTTAAGCTCACAAGGTAAAAATAAAAAATTATACTATTTGTACAATCAAACTTGACAATAATGTTTGACAATGTTGGTATTGTCAAAATCCTAGCATTGATTTAAAAATCAATTTTTGAAATGGATGAATGTGATATTTTCAAGTATGAGTTGTCATCCAATATCGTTAAATTAGATTGTACGCATGATTCATAAATAAATTTTGTGTCACATTTGGTATTTCGAATTAGTCCTCACGCGTCAGCAAGTCAGAGCGCACGAGCGAATCTTCACCTAGTACAACAACCAAGATCCAACCCAGAAAATTAAATACATAAAAAGGGAGTTAATTATTCCAATGGTCACTGAACGTAGGTTCACGTCTTTGATTGGTTACTAAATTTTAAAATGTCAAGTTTTGGTCACTAAACTTAAGTTCATGTCTTTGATTGCTCACTGAAATTTAAAATGTCGAGTTTTGGCCACTAAACTTTGAAAAATATTGTACATTATTCGCTGAGCTTTAAAAAATGTTGTACATTACTCACTGAACTTTAAAAAATGTTGTACATTACTCAATGTAAGTTCGATATTTTTCAAAGTTCAACAATTACATTAGTAAGTAAGGTACAATATATTTCAAAATTCAGTAGTCAAAACTCAATATTTTAAATTTTATTGAGCAATCTAAAATATGGACTTAAATTCAGTGACTAATCGAAAATATTAACGTAAGTTCAATGATCAAATCTGGACATTTTAAACTTGATCACCAATCAAGGACATACATGTAGGTTTCTAAAACGGCAATGGGGCTGTGTTTGTTAAGGAATCAAACTAAATACACCATTGCAATTGGAAAGGAACGTAGGGCGATGAGATCTGTCGTTTCCCGCATTGGAGTGCGTCTTTTGACGGAAGGCAACTGGCGGTCATCGGCCTTGGGCCTTCGCCACTCGAGCGATGGCAGTGGTCGTGTTCTCAGCGAAGAAGAGCGTGCTAAAGAAACAGTCTATGTTCAGGTTTTCTTGTATATATATTGGTTTTTGCTTTTTTAATTTTTTTGTAAAGCTTTCTTTGGAATCAATATTGGTAATGGTTTTGGTGACGATGAAGAAAATGGAGCGTGAGAGGGCGGAGAAGATGAAAAAAAAGATGGAGCAAGAGAAAGCTGACAATGATAAATCTGATAAGGTACGTATTTTAATACATTCATTACTTAATTTATTATAGGCTTATTTTGGTTTTTCTCTCTTTGGTGTCATCTTTGATCTGACATTTTTGTTGAACGTTTTAGTTTTGATATAGATATGAAGAAACACTGTAGAATCTTTCTGACATATCAAAATTTAGAAAAATCTGGATGATCTTACACGAGATCTTAGCACCTCAATGAGACCGGATATTACACAAAACATATATTTCCATAAATTCGTGCTACTTTATCATCACTTATTTAATTCACTAATGCATCTAGCTAACTCTGGAGTCTCTGTCTCTATAATAACCTGGTATATATTGATCATTTATGTATTAAAAATTTAAAATAATGGTGATGAATTAAAATTTTGGTAGTGCTGTTTATACTTCCTTGCACTCACATGATGCGCCAAGGGATACTACTAACTTCTCCATATTTGTCCCTGTTCCAATAATGGATAGGTAGGTTGTAGTGGGATGACATTACTTGTTATATCAGCTTCCGAACAAAATGGGAGCTTCTAATTTTTGATAAATCAATATTATCTATTTAAGCAAGTTAGCAGGATAAATACCTTTCGAGTCTTTGACCATACAGTTCAGGTTGCGCTATGAATGTCAAACTGAAACCTCTTTCTTGTTGTTCATTACCCTCCCTTGGTTCATACTATTATTGTCTACAGATTCTATTGTGAAGAAGTGGGGGAGCATTCTTCATGATAACCCCTACCATCTTCCAGTAGGATTGCCTGAAGTCGTACTTATAACAAATATGAAGTAAAACACCTATCTAGGTTTTATTTTTTTTCAAATTTATGCAAAATAATTGTGGATAGGAAACTCTGCAAAACAAATTTGCAGCAGTGTACTAGTATTAATGAATTTATCCAACATCAGTAAGAGTACACGGATTTTAAAACTACAGAAGAAATTAACAAACAATAAATTGTTATTGGTCTTGCATATTTGAAAAAAAAATTTAATATGTAGAAGTGCCTTGTTACCATAAAAGAATGGAAATGTACTGGACCATCTGTTCATGACCACTGGTGGGTCTGCTTGCTTGAAGTTCTTTCATCAATGAGACAGTTATGAGAATGTTCGGAACCTGGAAGTAGCTGTTAGAGTTCTTGTAGTCTGGCGTGCTGCTGCTGCCCTGTGTTCACTCCTGTGAATGCTGCTAATCAAAGATTGGTTAGACAGCAGACCAGTTAACGGAAATATTGCTACAGGATTTCATAATTGGAGTGTGATGAACTGTATTATATACTGAATGGCAGAAAGTTCAACAACTGTAAATGAACTGATAAAATGGAACAGAAATGAAAGATCCTCTAAGGCATTTGAGAGGCCTGGAACTCTCCTACAAGATTCACAAACTACTCAATATTTGCATAACCATTATGCTCCCTCTCCTATTACATTTATACTACTACGTCCCCCCTATTTCCCAAACTACCCACGATAACTAACTGGAATTGGAACACTCTGGAATATGGCATAACAAACTTGAATGAATAACTAGGAGGTCTATCAGAGAACTTCTCCTTTTTAGTGATAGATAGAATGGACCCCCACTTTTTAAGGTTTTCGGAAGCAACTATTGGGATCAAATTGTTTTCTGAACACATGTCTAGAAAACCGTTTTAAGTAACAACTTTATCTAATTTTTCTTCGTGCAATGGGGTCATTTTACTCTCCTACACCCATGTTAACATCCATATCTAAGAACTTTTGTTTGAATAAAGGGTATTCGTTAATAGTAAAAGAAAATTTTATTTATTGAATCTACTTGGTTTGTGGATTTTGGTAGGATGATTTCGGAATCATAGTTAAATCCAAGTTGTGTAAATGAACCGTCGGATAAATTGGTGCATGAATTATATTCCGTAAACAAAAACACTTGCATACAAATAAGGATAGAGTGACGACTTATTGATACCATGGAACGTGCGTAATAATGACCAACTACGACTTACTCAGACGTAGAAATTGCAGAAATTCGAAGGAGATAGAATGAAGTGAGGTATGTGAATGCGAATCTCCTACGAGATAGATTTTGCCCCCTACACTGGTATTAATAGAATCAAATGGACGTTCCGTCTCTCAAGATACAAAGTTTCTTCCAAATTAATATTCAAAATTATATAACACAATATTAATTTTACCGGGTGAGCCAACATTTGACTGTACTCTTTTAGAACGGAGGATATCGAATACTAGATATTGAAAAAAATTCAAAAATAATTTGAAGTTATTTTGACATAGTTTGGAAAAGGAAATAATTAGAAATCAATTATTTGGAATTGATTTGGAGTAAAGAAAATGGAATTAGGAGGGTTCTATTTGTAGATTTTAACGTGTCTCTTCCTAATGGTCACATTTATTAGCGAAATTAATTTTAACCATTAGATTGTAAAGTTGGAAGAGAAACAAATGAGAGAACCACGAAGGAGGACAGTAATTCTGTATTGTTATTAATTCCAGCAAGGTACAAATATTTATAGTGTCATGAGACATACATATTCCTTTATTCTAGGGATTACTTCCAAATTTAAATATATGTCAATCATATAAATAAAGAAATGAACTATTTAGAGCCATGAATTATGGGACAATTGACCACCAAATCTGCTCCTAATTTCCGAATCTTCAACACTCCCCCTCAAGCTGGCCGGTACAAGTTAAATAACGCCAGCTTGTCCACCATTTTTCCAAACATGGGTTTAAATAAGCCCTTCGTTAATAAGTCTGCAACTTGCTCGGATGAAGGTACATATACCATGCATATTGTCTCATCTTCTATCTTCTCCTTGATGAAATGTCTATCAACATCTACGTGTTTAGTTCTGTCACGATGAACAGGATTGTGTAACATTGCAATGGCCGCCTTGTTATCACAATAAACTTTCATAGGCGTATTCTCTTTAATCCCAAATTCACTTAACAGTATCTTTAACCACATTATTTCACAGATTCCATATGCCAAAGCTCTGAATTCAGTTTCAGCACTGCTCCTGGCAACAACTGTTTTTTTTTACTTTTCCAAGTGACTAGATTTTCCCACACGAAGGTACAATAACCGGTTGTAGATCTTCTGTCTGTTACTGTACCAGCCCAATCAGCGTCGGTGAAAGTTTCAATAGTTCTTCCAGAATTCTTTCTGAAGAAAAGTCCATACCCAGGAGTCCCTTTCAGATATCTCAAAATTTGATAAACAACCTCCATATGCTCTTTGAATGGAGCATGCATGAATTGGCTTACAACACTACTGCAAAAGCGATGTCTGGCCTTGTGTGTGACAAGTAAATAAGTTTGCCTACTAAACGTTGATATCTTCCCTTACCAACAGGTGTACTTTCCAAGCAATCCCCCAATTTGTGATTGGGATTTATAGGGACATCGGCAGGCTTACTTCCCAACATGCCTGTTTCTCTTAAGAGACCCAAGACGTACTTTCTTTGTGAAATAGAGATAGCACTCCTATTTCTAGCAACCTTCAGTCCTAGAAAGTATCGTAAGAGACCTAAATCTTTTATCACAAACTTGGTCGAAAGAGCCTTTTTCAATCTCTCCATTTCTTCACGGTGATCACTTGTCAAGACTATATCATCCACATAAACTATTAGGATGGTAATTTTTCCACCTGAATGCTTGAAAAACATGGTGTGATCAGATTGGGCTTGTTTATATTCTTGTTGACATACAACTTTCATGAACCTATCAAACCAGGCTCATGGGGATTGTTTCAACCCATATAAGGACTTCTCCAGTTTACAGACTTTTCCTTCAGTTTTAACCTCATTAAATCCAGGGGGAAGATCCATAAATACCTCTTCTTCCAGGTTGGCATTCAGGAAGGCATTTTTTGCATCCAGTTGTTGTAGTTTCCAATCTAGATTAGCTGTTAGAGACAGAAGGACTCTCATTGTGTTCAATTTCGCAACTAGAGCAAAGGTTTCTTGGTAATCAATTCCATAAGTCTGAGAATATCCCCTTGCTACTAACCTGGCTTTATAGCGTTCTACCGAACCATCTGACTTGTATTTTACTGAAAACACCCATTTGCACCCAACTGTAGGCTTATCCTTAGGCTTTTCCACAATTTGCCACGTTTTATTTTTATTCAAGGCTTCCATTTCTTCCTTGACTGCTTTTCTCCATTCAGGGATTGCCAAGGCTTCGTGAATAGACTTTGGAGTCTTGATCGATGAGAGGTTCGTTTCAAGTGTTTGAACAGAGCTGGATAGATGACTATATCCAATGAAGTCTGAAATAGGGTGTTTTGTACAAGATCTAACTCCCTTCCTGAGTGCTATAGGAACATCCAAATCATTATTATCATCAATATGTGTGTTAAGGAAGCTACTTGAATTCGGTTTAGACTCATGACTTTGCTGTTGGGCTGTGAAATGTTCTACAATTTCTGAACTTTTTCTCCTTGAATATACACGTAGCTCTGGTGTTTCAGCAAATTGTTTATCTCCCCCTGTCATTGGACTTGGCTGTACTGGAGGGTCAACATGTTGTGGATCGGGAAGTGTGGGAGATGATGGTTCGGATATGGAGGTAGAGTTCTCTTCCATGTGTGGCATAGGTGCCTGTGGTGAAGTTTCCAAAAAATTCCCATCGTAGGTATTGTGTTCCTTCCCCTGAGGGGAATTTTGGGGAAAAAAAGGAACAGATTCAAAGAAAGCGACATCCATGGATATGTAATATTTATGAGTATCTGGGGAATAACATATATAACCTTTTCTGAGTCGGTGAGTAGCCTAAGAACACACATTTTCGAGCCTTAGGGTCTAGCTTGGAACGTTCGTGATCGTGGATATGAGTAAAGGCAGTACATCCAAATACGTTTAGGGGTATTGATGAGATAGATCGAATTTGTGGGTATACTTTTGACAGAACAGTTAGAGGAGTTGCAAAATTATGTATTCGAGAAGGCATTCTGTTTATAAGGTAACATGCAGTAAGAATTGCATCCCCCTAAA